TACAAGAAGAATCTTGGAATTGCATATGGTGGTGGAAAGTGGGCGTTAAATGGGAGAATAAAATAATCGGAAGGAAAAGTTAAAGGATGAAAGCTATCACGTAGGGTTGACGGATTGATTATGCGGCTTGTTCATCACACACATGAATACACAGCTTGGCCTTCCCATGTGGTGGAGTGTGGCCTCATGAAATGGGAACCTCAACTCTAAACTACTACGGGTCAGGGGTTAAGGTCTGGAGGGCTCTCACAGTCGGGATTGTAAGATTGTCGCTCAGCTTTCCCCTCTCTCAGGCATCCACACTTGCGAGTCCCTCCTGTGGTGGAATGTAGGGCCTTGGTCAAAACCACTGAATTAAGAGCCGGTTGAGTACCGCCTATGTAGAGACTGTGGACTATGTTGTGGCCTTCTCCTCCTGTCCCTTGGGTAGCGTATGTGGAGGTCCTGATTCCAGCCACCACTTTGGACCTTTCTCCTGTTGTTGTTATTTTTGCTTCCATTAAGGCAGCTCCACCACACTCGTGGGCGAGCGTTTCACTGCTGACGCTCTCTCCTATCAGGGATTGTGCGCTACTATGTTCCCCCTAGCCATAACAGCCACACTTGTGCTTGCCTCCTGTTTGGAAATTGTGGCTTCCAACGAGGCGCCTCCGCCGCCCCGGGAGAGTATTTCCACTGCTGTGAACGGCTCCTCTCGGTCCGGTATTGTGAGTGCTCACTTGTTCCTCTCATCCAGGCAGCCACAAATACTTTGTGCCCTTCCCATCCTGTGGTGGGGAATTGTGTGGCTTTTGCCTCACCCCCTGCCAAGGTGCAGAAAATATGCATTCAAAGCCCCCAACAGATGGCCATCCAGCCTCTGTTTAAAAGCTTCCAAAGAAGGCCTCCACCACACTCCGGGGCAGAGAGTTCCACTGCTGAACGGCTCTCACACAGTCAGGGATTGATGCTCAGCTTGTTCCTCCTCACCCAGGCAGCCACAACTTGGGCCTTGCCTCCTGGTGGTGGGAATTGTGGGCTTCCAACGAAGGAGCCTCCACCACACTCCGGGGCAGAGAGTTCCACTGCTGAACGGCTCTCACAGTCAGGGATTGATGCTCAGCTTGTTCCTCCTCACCCAGACAGCCACAACTTGGGCCTTGCCTCATGGTGGTGGGAATTGTGGGCTTCCAATGAAGGAGCCTCCACCACACTCCGGGGCAGAGAATTCCACTGCTGAACGGCTCTCATAGTCAGGGATTGATGCTCAGCTTGTTCCTCCTCATCCAGGCAGCCACAACTTGGGCCTTCCCTCCTGGTGGTGGGAATTGTGGGCTTCCAATGAAGGAGCCTCCACCACACTCCGGGGCAGAGAGTTCCACTGCTGAACGGCTCTCACAGTCAGGGATTGTCGGGATTGATGCTCAGCTTGTTCCTCCTCATCCAGACAGCCACAACTTGGGCCTTGCCACCTCGTGGTGGGAATTGTGGGCTTCCAATGAAGGGGCCTCCACCACACTCCGGGGCAGAGAGTTCCACTGCTGAACGGCTCTCACAGTCAGGGATTGTCGGGATTGATGCTCAGCTTGTTCCTCCTCATCCAGACAGCCATAACTTGGGCCTTGCCTCCTGGTGGTGGGAATTGTGGGCTTCCAACGAAGAACCTGCACTTGCTCCTGATTGGTTCAGAAGCTGTCCAGCTAGGATCCATGCCCTGATTGGCTCAGGACTCCATGTGACAGTATTGTTGGTTGACTCTTCCTTGGTGGTGGGACATTTAATAAACTGTCATTGGAGTGTTTGAACTCTTAGTCCATTTATAAATTCATTCAAAGCACCCCCAACAGATGGCCATCCAGCCTCTGTTTAAAAGCTTCCAAAGAAGGATTCTCCACCACACTCCGGGGCAGAGAGTTCCACTGCTGAACGGCTCTCAGTCAGGGATTGATGCTCAGCTTGTTCCTCCTCATCCAGGCAGCCACAACTTGGGCCTTCCCTCCAGGTGGTGGGAATTGTGGGCCTTGAAGTCCAAAACAACTGAAGGGAAGGCCCAAGTTGGACCAGGCCTGCTGTAGATACTGTGGGAGCTGTTTTGCGGCCTTCTCTCCCGTTCCCATTGGGTTAAAGCGGTGTGGAAGGGCCTTAATCCCCGAGTGCGGGCTCAGGAAGACGCCTGAGGGGAAAACCCGCCCAGAGGAGGCGGAATCCGGGCGGCCCAAAGCGAAAGAAGCGGAGGAAGGGAAGGGAAGGGAAGGGGCGGCCGTTAGCAGGCTGGCTGTGTGGGGCCCTGTCTCCCGGAAGAGAGGCGGCGGGAGGAGAACGCGAGAGGCGCCGGCCGGTGTTCCAGGCGAGAGTCCGGCTTGGCAGAGGATGGAGGCCTCCCGGTTCCTCCTCTGGAGCCTCCTGGTGCCGCTGGTAAGGCCTCCCCACCGGAAGTAGGCCTCGGAGCCTCCCTTTTCCTGAAAAGAGAGGGTCGTGGGCAGCTTGAACCAACTTTAAACGACCAGCGCCAGGCCTTCCACCTTTAACACCTTGCCCTGATGAAGGGAGTTGGACTGGATGGCCTTGAGTATTTTCTGTTGGTCATGGGGGTTCTGAGTGGGAAGTTTGGGCCAATTCTATCATTGATGGGGTTCAGAATGCTCTTTGATGGTAGGTGAACTATAAATCCCACTAATGACAACTCCCAAATGTCAAGATCTATTTCCCCCAAACTCCACATTTGGACATATTGAGTATTTGTGCCAAGTTAGGTCCAGATCCATCATTGTTTGCTCTCTGGATCTAGGTGAACTACAACTCCCAAACTCAAGGTCACTGCCCACCAAACCCTTCCAGTATTTTCTGTTAGTCGTGGGACTTCTGTGTGCCAAGTTTGATTAAATTCCATCGTCGGTGGAGTTCACAATGCTCTTTGATTTTAGGTGACCTATAAATCCCAGCAACTACAACTCCCAATTGACAAAATCAACCCCTCATCCAACCCCACTAGTATTCAAATGTGGGTGTATTGGGTATTTGTGCCAAATTTGGTTCAGTGAATGAAATTACATCCTGCATATTGGATATTTACATTACAATTAGTAATAGTAGCAAATTTACAGTTATGAAGCAACAACGAAAATAATGTTATGGTTGGGGGTCACCACAACATGAGGATCTGTATTAAGGGGTCACGGCATCAGGAAGGTTGAGAAACACTGCCCTAGACTGTATTTGAATGTCATATCCTGTCTGTTATGGGGCGAGGTAACACAAGATGGCCATCTGTCGGTAGGGCTTTGATGGTGTCTTGGCAGGAAGGGTCTAGACTGCATGACGCCTTGAGGCCTCTTCCAGGCTTATCTGATATGATTATGAAACTTTTTTTTTAATTTTAAGGACGTAAAAGTATTGGTTCTGTGTTTTGACCCTTAGTAATAATAGTAATAATCTTCTATATAAATAAAAAAATATAATGTTTGTGGGATCCAGTCTTATCTGATTATGAAACACTAGCTGTCCCCTGCCAGGCATTGCTGTGGCCCACTCTGTTGATCTGGAAAATAATGCAATGAGAAAGTGTTTGTCTATTTTATTATTGTCATCTTTGCCCTGTGTGTATCCCAATAGAAAGGTTTCCCGAGGCTGTATTTGAATGTCATGGCCTGTAAATGTCATGTCATGTAATTGAATGTCATGACAGATGGCCATCTGTCGGTAGGGCTTTGATGGTGTCTGGCAGGAAGGGGCTGCACTGCATGACGCTTTGAGGCCTCTTCCAGGCTTATCTGATATGATTATGAAACTTTTTTTTTAATTTTAAGGACGTAAAAGTACTGGTTCTGTGTTTTGACCCATAGTAGTAATAATAGTAATCTTCTATATCAATAAGAAATGTAATGTTTGTGGGGTCCAGTCTTATCTGATTATGAAACATTTTTATTTTAAGGATGTAAAAGTATTGGTTCTGTGTTTTGACCCGTAGTAATAATACTAATGGGGAGCCCCCAGTGGCGCAGTGGGTTAAAGCACTGAGCTGCTGAGCTTGTTGATCGAAAGGTCGCAGATTCGATTCCGGGGAGCGGTGTGAGCTTCCGCTGTCAGCCCTAGCTTCTGCCAACCTAGCAGTTCGAAAACATGCAAATGTGAGTAGATCAATAGGTACCGCTCTGGCAGGAAGGTAACGGCACTCCATGCAGTCATGCCGGCCACATGACCTTGGAGGTGTCTACGGACAACGCTGGCTCTTCGGCTTAGAAATTGAGATGAGCACCACGCCCCAGAGTCAGACATGACTGGACTTAATGTCAGGGGACTACCTTTACCTTAATAATACTAATAATCTATACAAACATTTATTTATTTACTTACTTCATTTATATACCGCTTTTCTCGGCCCTTAGGCGACTCAAAGCAGTTAACAACAGCAATTTCAATACACACATTACAAAACCATTGGAGCATGTAAAAACTCCAATGGTTGTAGCATAACAACAATTAAACATCAATATGACAAATCATTCACGTCTCATCAATATGACAAATCATTCACGTCTCATCAATAGAATCAGAATCCAATCTCAGCATCCGTTACTCTGTGTTCCTATAATCAATTACACTGCCTAATCGAATGCCTGTTCAAACAACCAGGTCTTCACTTTCCTCCGAAATGTCAATAAAAATGTAATGTTCGTTTGTGGGATTAATATAACTCAAAAACCACTGGGCGAATTGACACCAATTGTGGACACAAGACACCTCTCAGGCCAACAAGTGACCATCACTCATAAAAACACTGAAAAAAACAGCAGAAGAGACTTAAAAAGGCAAAAAACAAAAATTACATTACAATGCATGTGCAAAACCATATATATACACAAACGCACATATATACACAAATATGTACACACACATGTATGCATATATACACACACAAAACACATATACACAGACTGGGTCACAGCAATGCGTGGCAGGGGTCGGCTAGTATATAAATAAAAATGTAATGTTTGTTTGTGGAATTAACATAATAACATAACTTAAAAACCACTGGACGAACTGACACCAAATTTGGACAGAATACACCTATCAGGCCAATGAGTGACCATCACTCATAAAAACACTGGAAAACACGGCAGAAGGGACTTAAAAAGCCAAAAAAGCAAAAAGATGCTACAGCTTATGCGCAAAAATGACTCCCCCGGCAAACAAAACACACAATAGCATATCCACACTCTCTTCCAGAACACAGCTCCCATCATTCCCTAGACCAGGCCCTTTAGGAGAGGAGGATGATCCAAATGCACTGCTTCCAAGATGCAAGCTTGCTTCTCCTTGGATTTCTTTGAGAGCATCCCAATCCCTGTGTATTTCCAATTTCCTATTCCTGGAGTGCAACTCCCAGCAATCCTCCAGATAGTTAGATTACATAGAGATAGGTAGGTAGGTAGATTGATCAGGAGGACTGCTTGGAGTTGCAATCCAAGAATAGGTAGACTACGAAGGAAGAGAGGGGAGAAAGAAGAAGGGAAAGAAAAGGGGGAAAGGAAGGGAGGAAGAAGAGAAGGAAGGAAGGAGAGAAGAAAAGAAAAAAAAGGGAAGGAATGAGAGAAAGAAAGGAGGAGAGAAAGAGGGAGTGAAGGTTGGCCACAGCAATGCGTGGCGGGTACAACTAGTCACCCATAAAAACACAGAGACTTAAAAAGCCAAAAAACAAAAATTACATTACAATGCATGCGCAAAACCACACATATATACAAACACACATATACACAAACATATACACACACATATACACACACATATACACATATACACAGACTGGGCCACAGCAATGTGTGGCAGGGGATGGCTAATAATAATAATAATAATAATAATAATACATGTGATCCACTACAACAGCCAGCATAGTGATCTTGTTTGCTGTCTATTAATCTTGTTGTGTGGGGTGGCTTACAGCAAAACAAACAAATACAGTAAATGATATAACACAGACAATAATCACATACAGTAGAGTCTTGCTTTTCCAACCTTCGCTCATCCAACCTTCTGTATTATCCAACGCAGTCTGCTTCCTGCCCAGATCCACAGCTTTTTCAATGCATTGTTTTGGTGCTAAATTCATAAATACAGTAATTACTACATAACGTTACCATGTATCGAACTGCTTTTTTTCTCAGTTTGTTGTGAAACTTGATGTTTTGGTGATTTGACATTTAATTTTCCTTAATCCCTCATTATCCAACATTTTCGCTTATCCAACGCTCTGCTGGCCCATTAATGTTGGATAAAAAAGACTCTACTGTATCAATTAATATAAATAATAGCACAGTATTTACATAAGTAAACAGTTTAAAAGACAAGCCCTCTAAAACTCTCTCTCTCTACACACACACACACACACGGTTTATAATCAGCCAATTCCTACCGGCTGTTATGAATTGTGGGAGTTGAAGTCCAAAACACCTGGAGGGCCGAAGTTTGCCCATGCCTGGTGTAGATGCATCTATAACCCCAGTACCCAACTGTATTCATCTGCAAAGGGACCCAACATCACCTTTGAGACCAACTTGAGAGAAACACATTGGGAGCAGACATTTTTCTAGGCTGAAGCTGACTTCCTTTTCTTGGACTGTTGAGACCAGGGGCAAAGGGCATGGAAAAACCCATCATGAGATGTCACATTTGCAACAGCGAAGGAACTTCCCTTGAAACCCAACCTGCCCCTGTTCTGAATAAGGAAGTCACCAACTCAAACATTCGAAAGTAGTAGTGCCGGCTAAGCAACTCCTTCCTCTAAGTTCGTCTCAAAAGTGCTGCGAAGCCCTTTGGCATATTCGTAGGCTTGTTTGCCACGTCTGCAAGGGCTGTGTGTACTCAGGGACTAATGGACTTGTGGTTCTTATAAACGGGAGAAAATGAAACTGCCTGTTATTTAGCAACATACTTTATTTCTCGTGTCAGGGCAGCCAGTCAATTATATTACATTTCTAACAGAACAAAGCAAACAAACAGAGAAAATACAAATGTGTGAGTTTGGTAGTTGATTAAATGTCCTTTGACCAGTATCTGGCCACTTGGAGTGCTTCTGGTGTTGCTGCAAGAAGGTCCTCCATTGTGCATGTGGCTGGGCTCAGGTTGCATTGCAGCAGGTGGTCAGTGGTTTGCTGCTCTCCACACTCACATGTCGAGGATTCCACTTTGTAGCCCCATTTCTGAAGGTTGGCTCTGCATCTCGTGCCAGAGCGCAGTCTGTTCAGCGCCTTCCAAGTCGCCCAGTCCTCTGTGTGCCCAGGGGGGAGTCTCTCATTTGGTATCAGCCATTGGTTGAGGTTCTGGGTTTGAGCCTGCCACTTTTGGACTCTCGCTTGCTGAGGTGTTCCAGCGAGTGTCTCTGTAGATCTTAGAAAACTATGTCTGGATTTAAGTCGTTGACGTGCTGGCTGATACCCAAACAGGGGATGAGCTGGAGATGTCTCTGCCTTGGTCCTTTCACTATTGGCTGCCACTTCCCGGCGGATGTCAGGTGGTGCAATACCGGCTAGACAGTGTAATTTCTCCAGTGGTGTAGGGCGCAGACACCCCGTGATAATGCGGCATGTCTCATTAAGAGCCACATCCACTGTTTTAGTGTGGTGAGATGTGTTCCACACTGGGCATGCATACTCAGCAGCAGAGTAGCACAGCGCAAGGGCAGATGTCTTCACTGTGTCTGGTTGTGATCCCCAGGTTGTGCCAGTCAGCTTTCGTATGATATTGTTTCGGGCACCCACTTTTTGCTTGATGTTCAGGCAGTGCTTCTTGTAGGTAAGAGCACGGTCCAGAGTGACTCCCAGGTATTTGGGTGCGCTGCAATGCTCCAGTGGATTCCTTCCCAGGTGATCTTCAGAGCTCGGGATGCTTCTCTGTTCTTGAGATGAAAGGCACATGTCTGTGTTTTAGATGGGCTGGGGATCAGCTGGTTTTCCCTGTAATAGGCAGTAAGGGCACCTAGAGCTTCGGAAAGCTTCTGTTCAACCATCTCAAAGCTCCCTGCTTGAGCAGTAACAACATACTGAGGAACAAGGAATCGCAAAGGAATAATGGATATTGCAAGTCTGGTCTCCACGTGGTTTCCATTGGGTTTCCAAGGACAGTGGCCTTTGGTTGGGAACAGAATGTGGGATTAGAGAGGAGTCCTATTCTCACGGCTATTTTTATGAGCCAGCCAAATGCCGCTCTGACAGCTGGGCTCTTTGCGCTTCCTAGGTTCTCCGCTGACACACTTTTCACGAGATCCCATGCCTCGCTATGCAAGCGGCCTTTGCTTGGTTTAAAAATAACAAATTCATTGTCATTGCATTACATGGGTAAAGGGCTGTCATTTGTGGATATTGCTGGGATTGAGAGCTGAGCCTTCTCCTCACTCCAGATATTGAGAATTAGGATATATGTGATCTGTGTAGGCTTGCACCTTTTGGGTGCCTTTGTATAAATTGATGTGGCTCCCTCAATGCCTTCTGTACATTTCTTTCTTTCCCAAATAGAGATACAGTTAGCCCTCTCTATTCACTGGGGTTAGGAGGATTGTGTTTGGCTGCCTGTTAACTTCTGAAGCTGGATGAACAGAGGCTGGATGGCCATCTGTTGGGGGGTGCTTCGATTGTGCTTTTCCTGCATGGTGGGGGGTTGGACTGGATGGCCCATGTGCTCTCTTCCCTCTATGATTCGATGAGCCCAACTCAAGCCATTGTTGCTCACTTGAAAAACTTTGCCTTCCCTACAAGTACCTTTTCCCAGATCCCCCTATCCATGCTGTCAGGTATTCAGCATCTGTCAAGGCAGAGACATCTCCAGCTCATCCCCTGTTTGGGTATCAGCCAGCACATCAAATGCTTAAATCTAGAAATAGTTTTCTAAGATCTACAAAGACACTCGCTGGAACACCTCAGCAAGCGAGAGTCCAAAAGTGGCAGGCTCAAACCCAGCACCTCAACCAATGACTCCCTCCTGGGCACACAGAAGACTGGGCGACTTGGAAGGCACTGAACAGACTGCGCTCTGGCACCACGAGATGCAGAGCCAACCTTCAGAAATGGGGCTACAAAGTGGAATCTTCAACATGCGAGTGTGGAGAGGAGCAAACCACTGACCACCTGCTGCAATGCAACCTGAGCCCTGCCACATGCACAATGGAGGACCTTCTTGCAGCAACACCGGAAGCACTCCAAGTGGCCAGATACTGGTCAAAGGACATTTAACCAACTACCAAACTCACAAGTTTTGTATTTTGTCTGTTTGTTTGCTTTGTTCTGTTAGAAATGTAATATAATGGACTGGTTGCTCTGACACGACAAATAAATATGTATTTTATTTGTTTATTTATTTACTAGCTGTCCCCTGCTACGCATTGCTGTGGCCCAGTCTGTGTATATGTGTTGTGTGTGTGTATATTTGTGTATATTTGTGTATATGTGTGTGTGTGTGTGTGTGTGTGTGTGTGTGTGTGTATATATATATATATATATATATATGTTTGCGCATATATATGTGGTTTTGCACATGCGTTGTAATTTTTTTTTTTGGCTTTTAAATTATCTTCTGCTGTGTTTTTTAATGTTTTATGAGTGATGGTCACTCATTGGCCTGGTAGGTGTATGGTGTCCAAATCTGGTGTCAATCCCACAAACAAACATTACATTTTAATTTATATAGATTTACAGTATTTATATTTTGCCCTTTTCATCCCTTAGGGTGGATCACAGAACACATATACAGCGAAACTTCCATGCCGATTATACAATGACAAGACAGACAACAAATAGAGTTATATATATATGCTTTTCCCCATCTTTCGGCATCTTTGGAGGCTGTGCTCAGTTCTGGCCACAGGGGGATTATGTTGCTCCATCTCCTTACAGTTTATTTGTAAACTTTCCTCCTTTTTCTGATCAAAAGGCTGTGGCTAAAACACCTCTCCACTTAATGCAGTTCCTGTTTATCTACTCACATTGCTGCTTTCGATCTGCTAGGTGGGCGGGGAGCCTGGCTGAAGATTAGGAGCTCACCCTCACCCGTCTTCGGACTGTCAACCTTCGGTTGGCAAGATTTACTGCAGCTACAGCTGGTGATTAACCTGCTGTGCTAAAACTGTCCCTTATGGATAGTCTCTATCTCTATGTATTTATTTTAGCTTACTACATAGAGTACAATCAAGTATTATCAAGCCTTGTTGTTTGGTTTGATATTGGGATATGGCCTAAGGGCTAATCAATAAAATTATTGAATTGTATGTATGGATAGAGAAGAGAATTCCTACGGTGGCATCTCAACTCAGAAGCAGTCTTCCTGAGAAGATTAAACTAGTACCAACGTTACTATCTACTATTAGACATTTAATATTTATTTTAATTCCCTTGTTTTGTTTGGTAGTTCTATTGTCTTGTTTCTTTGTTGGAAGTTGGGGATATTCTTATTGCATTACATCTATACTAGCCGTCCCCTGCCACGCGTTGTTGTGGCCCAGTCTGTGTATATGTGTTTTGTGTGTGTATATATGTTTGTATGTGTGTGTATATATTTGTGTATATATGTGTGTTTGCGTATATATATATTTGTGAGTATATATATGTGTGTATATATTTGTGTGTATATTTGTGTATTTGTGTTTATATGTGTACATGCATATTGTGTATATGTGTATGCTTGTCTATATGCATATTTGTGTGTATATATGTATGTATGTGGATATGTATATGCGTGTGCATGTGTATATGTATATATGTATGTGCATGTACATGTGCATGTGTATATGTATATATGTGTGTATGTATATATATATGTATGTGTGTATATATGTATATTTGTGTGTGTTTGTGTACGTATGTGTGTATGAATGTGTTCATATGTATATGAGTGTATGTATATATGTATTTGTGAGTATATATATGTGTGTATATATTTGTGTGTATATTTGTGTTTTTTTGTTTATATGTGTACATGCATATTGTGTATATGTGTATGCTTGTCTATATGCATATTTGTGTGTGTATATATATATGTATGTGGATATGTATATGCATGTGTATATGTATATATGTATGTATGTGGATATGTATATGCGTGTGCATGTGTATATGTATATATGTATGTGCATGTATATGTGCATGTGTATATGTATATATGTGTATATGTATATGTATGTGTGTATATGTGTATATTTGTGTGTGTTTGTGTACGTATGTGTGTATGAATGTGTTCATATGCATATGTATATGAGTGTATGTGTACATGTATATATGGTGTATTTTTTTGTTTTTAAGTCTGTTAAGCTGGGGTTTTGCGTGTGTGTGTGCGTGTGTGTGTGTTTATTTATGGGCGATGGACACTCGTTGGACTGTTTGGTGTCTTGTGTCCAAATTTTGTGTCAATTCGATCAGTGGTTTTGGAGTTATGTTAATCCCACAAACGAACATTACATTTTTATTTATATAGATGATTTCCTGCTGTCCAGAGCTCATGGGAATAAAAAGCAGATTGGATGTTTTGAGCCGGCATGTTAAAATGGTTTGAGTGGGGTGCTAGGGTTGGAATGATGCTCTCTCTGCCTTAAAGCAAGAGAATAAGAAACCCCACTTCTGAATAAATCTTTCAAAGGAAACATATGTCAGGTTGCCATAAGTTGAAGTTTCAAATAAAAAATCAGGCACTGTAATAATTAATGTTATGTTTACTTTTTTGTTTTCATTCTACCTCTGATGCTCATTTGAAACCATTGTGATAATGGTTAGGAGAACGCCTGGGATGGTTGGCTACACTTATACCCTTTTGAAATGGGACTCAGTTATTTCAGTCTTAAATAAAAGTTTTTAATTCATGGTTTTAACAATTTTAATGGAGAGAAAAAACCCTTCTCTTAATTTCCAGGTGAGCGCTCAAGAAGCTGTCTTGCGTGCTATCAAGATTGATGATCCTCCGTTAACAAGGGACTACTGTATATTTTATAATAAAAATTGGACTTCCCTTCCGAGTACTTTAACTAACATTGTAAGTAATTATATTTTTACATTTCCTAAGATTTCATGTGAGACATTTTAATGGGAAAATATTGGCTGGGAACCTGTTGTTTAGTCATACTTTGAGTCAATCATTCACATGATGCACTTACTGTTGGATGTTCTCTAATGAACATTAATAACAGGATTTATGCCTTTGGTCTCAAATGTGTTCAGCTTCCTGCTGGTGCATTCTAATTTGTAGAACTTTAGTAGTGTAAAATGTAGTTATGTAATAAAAATGAATAAAAATACATGCACAGAATGAAGCAAAATGAATGATGTGGTTTAACTCCTGAAATTGCAGAATGATTTTTGATCAGCGTTTCTCAACCTGGGAGTCAGGACCTCTGGTGGAGGGGCGGGGGTCGCGAGGGGATGTCAGAGGGGTCACCAAAGACCATCAGAAAACACAATATTTTCTGTTAGTCATGGGGGTTCTGTGTGAGAATTTTGCCCCAATTCTATTGTTGGTGGGGTTCAGGATGCTCATTGTTTGTAGGTGAACTACAAATCCCAGCAACTACAACTCCCAAATGTCAAGGTCTATTTCCCCCAAACTCCATCAGTGTACACATTTGGACATACTGAGTATTCATTCCAAGTTTGGTCCAGATCCACCATTGTTTGAGTCCTCAGTGCTCTCTGGATGTAGATGAACTACAACTCAAAAACTCACCTACATCCCAAGATCACCTGTAGGTGAATTACAACTCCAAAACTGGAGCCCCTGGCGGCGCAATGGGTTAAACCCTTGTGCTGGCAGGACTGAAGACCGACAGGTCAGAGGTTTGAATTTGGGGAAAACGCAGAGGAGCTCCCTTTGTCAGCTCCAGTTCCCCATGTGAGGACATGAGGCAAGTCTCCCACAAGGATGGTAAAACATCAAAACATCCAGGCATCCCCTTCGCAACATCCTTACAGACAACCAATTCTCTCACACCAGAAGCAACTTGCATTTTCTCAAGTTGCTCCAGACACAAAAAAACGCCCTCCAAAACTCAAGGTTATTGCCCACCAAACCCTTTCAGTATTTTCTGTTGGTCATGGGAGTTCTGTGTGCCTAGTTTGGTTCAGCTCCATTATTGGCAGAGGTCAGAATGCTCTTTGATTGTAGGTAAACTATAAATCACAGCAGCAACAACTCCCAAATGACAAAATCAATTTTTTGAGTGATGGCCACTCCTTGGGTTAGTAGGTGTCTTGTGGCCAAATTTGGTGGCAATTAGTCCAGCGGTCTTTGAGTTATGATGTCACTCAAAATGAACAGAATATTTTTATGTATAGGTAGGATTTGCAAAGACCTGCAAACATATGAGGGGGAAACTCCCAAGGGAACAAAAACACACATATAAAGTTAATACATTTAGATACACACAAAAAAGCCAGGAAACATGGAGGACATGAAATATATCTCCTTTTCCTCCTTCTCTCCCTTTTGACTGGAAAAGAAAATGTACTGTCAAGGGAGGGGAAGAGGAGAGATTTCAGAATTATCTTTGATTGTAGGTGAACTATAAATCCCAATTACAACTCCCAAACGACAATATCAATCCCCCTCCAACCCTACCAGTATTTTAGTCCAGTGAATGAAAATCCATCCTGCATATCAGATATTTACATTGCAATTCATAACAGTAGCAAAGTCACAGTTATGAATTAGCAACAAAAATAATGTTATGGTTGGGGGTCACCACAACATGAAGAACTGTATTAAGGGGTCGCGGCATTAGGAAGGTTGAGAAACACTGTTTTAGACTGATTGGCGTCTCACAGTTGTGAGTGTTCCCTAACTTTAAAAAAATCCTTTGAGCACAGGAAGGGAAATGCTGCATCTGGGTTCTGTTTGCTAGACATTTTTAAACATGTTTCTGAGTCTACAATTTCTGTGATGCTAGTTCTTTCATTCGTATTGCAGCCAGAAATGTCATCTTCTCTCTTACCGACAATTTAAGATATCTTTTAAGCTGTATTTCTGAGTTCTCTTGCATTTCCATTTTAAAAATATTTACAGGATTGTTTTTTTGTCTTTTAGACTTATACAAGACTGGAAATCTTGACACCCAATTTACTTTGCAGTCAGTCTGATGTTACCCATGACATCAAGAACAAAGCAATTGTAGTATCCCGGGGAAACTGCACTTTTCTGGAAAAGGGAGAAATTGCCCAAAGTCTGGGTGCTAAAATGTTGCTGATTGCCAGTGATTCTAGTATTGTAAGTTATCATGTGCACAATTTGTTTGGTACTCCGAGTGTGGTACAATCTTTCCTGCAGCTATGCTTTATAACCCGGAAAGTTTTTCTCAGGGATATATGGAAGCCGTGCAATAAACATGGTGGTCCTTGCTTGCCCTTATACCTAAGCTATGGAATCTAAAAGGCAGTGGCGATTGAGGAGAGAATAGGAAAGTAAGAAAACATGAGCTATGAGACCAATCATTTAATCTCCCAAAACTCTTATAATAGCCAGTTTTAGTGAAAACAAGTTTAGAAAGAAGAGAAGCTGAATGCATCTGATGTGTTAGAATCTATGGGTGGCACTGTGGTTTCATCTCTTTCTTTGGCTGAATGCATATGACTGATGAAAACTGTAAGAAGTTGAGAGATTCAGTTCTGTACTTTACATACTTGAGTATAAGTTGACCCGAATATAAGCCAAGGCACCTAATTTTACCACCAAAAACTGGGAAAACGTATTGACTCGAGTATAAGCCAAGAGTGGGAGATGCAGCAGCTACATTGCAAAATAAAAATAGATGTGAATAAAATTACATTAATTGAGGCATCAATAGGTTAAATGTTTTTGAATATTTACAAAAAAACTGTAATTTAAGATAAGACTGACCAACTCTGATTAAACCATTGTTCTAACCTTCTTCAATATAAACATGCTTATGTATCCTTCCAATAATAATAGAGTAAAATAATAAATGTAACAATAACAATAATAAACAGAGTATAATAAGTGTAATAATAACAGAGTAAAATAATAAATGTAATGTTAATAATAAATAGAGTATAATAAATAATATAGAGTAAAATAATAAATGTAATAATAATAGAGTAAGATAATAAATGTAATAATAAAGAGAGTAAAATATTAATGTAATAATAATAAATAGAGAAAAATAATACATGTAATAGAAATAATAATAACAGAGTAAAATGATAAATAACCTTGGCTCGAGTATAAGGTGAGAGAAAGAACTCTCATCTCTTTGAAGCTTCCTGGGGGATTCCTTTGTTGGGAGGTGATTAGCTGGCCCTGATAGTTTCTTGTCTGGAATTCCCCTGTTTTTGAGTGTTGTTCTTTTCCTTGTTGTTCATTCGTTCAGTCGTCTCCGACTCTTCGTGACCTCATGGACCAGCCCACGCCAGAGCTCCCTGTCGGCCGTCACCACCCCCAGCTCCTTCAAGGTCAGTCCAGTCACTTCAAGGATGCCATCCATCCATCTTGCCCTTGGTCGGCCCCTCTTCCTTTTGCCTTCCACCTTCCCCAGCATAATTGTCTTTTCCAGGCTTTGCTGTCTCCTCATGATGTGGCCAAAGTACTTCAACTTTGTCTCTATTATCCTTCCCTCCAATGAGCAGTCGGGCTTTATTTCCTGGAGGATGGACTGGTTGGATCTTCTCGCAGTCCAAGGCACTCTCAGCACTTTCCTCCAGCACTTTAAAGGTCCAGCTCTCACATCCGTAGGTGACTACAGGGAAGACCATGGCTTTGACTAGGCAATGGATCTTGGTTGCCAGACTGATGTCTCTACTCTTTACTATTTTATCGAGATTGGACATTGCTCTCCTCCCAAGAAGTAAGCGTCTTCTGATTTCCTGGCCACAGTCTGCATCTGCAGTACTCTTTGCACCTAGAAATACAAAGTCTGTCATGGCCTCCACATTTTCTCCCTCTATTTTCCAGTTGTCAATCATTCTTGTTGCCATACTCTTTTAGAGTTTTGTAATACTGGTAACCAGATTTTGTTTGTTTTCATGGTTTTCTCCTTTCTGTTGAATTAAAAACAAGAAACAGTCAGGATTCCCCCATACATGACTGCAGCCAAGCCTTGAAACTAAAAGGCTATTGAATGTTAATCAAGGTGGCCAATCGCAGCATTCACACTTGCCTCAAACAGACAAGAGTTCTTTTTCCCACTCTGGACATTCCACAGGTACATAAACCCCACTTGCCTAGTTTCTAACAGACCTCACAACCTCTGAGGATGTGGGCAAAACGTCAGGAGGGAATGCTTCTGGAACATGGCCATATAGCCCGGAAAACTCACAGCAACACAGATTGTACTTAGTTGGAAGGATATCAGGTTTAGTCAATGCTAAGAGTAGGCTTTCTTTTAGTATGTAGGTACTTTCTACATAAATAGGTATTATTGACTGAAATATGGGTCAGCATTTTAACAGTTGAACAGAGAAAAGGAATTCAAGTGCTGCAATTTAAAAAATAATGAATGGATGGGTAAATCATGTAGAACTGAAAATTTACAAACTAGTTAAAACCTGGAATCGCTGGCTGCTCAGAAACTACACCAGGAAACGAGAAATCAATTTAGTCAAGGAAGAATGCAGGATCTTCTGAGTCATGCATGATCCTTGTGTCTCCTCCATTTTGGCCCTTAATAATGTATAGTTGTAAAGAACTATATGATAGGATACCATCAAGTTAGCATCATGTTCTTTTTCAGTTATTAGTCACCAGAGAGCAGTATGGAGGGGGACACCTATTCACAACATTTACGTGTCTCCTGGTAGTGAATACTTTAAGCCTGACAGAACATATCTACGCTCTTGTTCTTGCGACACTTCGATGATGATTTCAAGTCTGCTGTTATATTCTTTTTTCTAGAGTATTCCTTATGGCAACAAGACACCGAGTCTCGACATCCCAGTTGTACTTATAAGAAATGAGAATATAATCGATTTGAAAGAGGTAAATAGTCTTCACTGTTCTTTGTTTGTTTACAAAATGGATTTTGTTATTTTGGTTTTACAATTAATACTGTTTGTCATATATCTCTATAATTTATCCAGTGAAATACAATTAGATTCATCTATTTTTCACCCAAAGTGATGAATGAGCTAACGTACATAGACAAATCCAAATTCAATGGTTATCTTGAACTGGGTTATAGGAGGCTACACTGCCATATAATGCAATTCATATAAGATATTCTGGATTCAGAAACCGGATTATATGGCAATGTAAATGGTGCCTCAGTGAGATGGAGTTGTAAGCATGATGTTTCAGTTCTGATAAAAATGAATTCTGTGGAAATTTAAAACCAGTATTTTTTGGAATAATGATTTATTATTGAGTCTAAACATACTTAGTTTTTTCTTATTTGATCGTAAGAAGTAGATTTTAAAAAATGTTAATTTGGCACACCAAAATACTTCGTTAGGGCATTCCTTCCGTTTTCTGCACTTTGGGCCTTGCCTATCTTTTGTTTTTGTCCTATGTTTTAATTAAATGTTTAAATGAAAATTAATTATAGCAGGACATCAAGAGTGGTATAATACAGCAGAAGGGAAGCAATACAAAGCAGTGTTTAGCAGGAGTTCAAAGAATATTTTGCTTTGTGTTGTCGAAGGATTCATGGCCAGAATCACTGGGTTGCTGTGAGCTTTCTGGTCTGTATGGCCAAGTTTCAGAAACATTCTCTCCTGATGCTTCACCCACATCTATGGCAGGCATCCTCAGAGGTTGTGAGGAATCCTGTGTTAGGAGGTGTTAGCTGACCTTGATTATTTCATATCTGGATTCCCCTGTTTTTTTTTTTAGTGTTGCTCTTTATTTACTTTCCTGATTTTAGAGTTTTTTTTAATATTGGTTGCTAGATTTCCTTCCTTTTCAGGTGATTCCCCCAGACAGGGAGGATTTCCCCAGGCTGGAAGCAGCCAGGCTTTGAAGCTGCAAGGCTATTCAGTGCTAATCAAGATGGTCAGTTGCAACATTCACACCTGTCTCAAGCAGACAAGAGTTTTTTCTCCCACCCTGGACATTGCACAGATATATAAACCCCGCTTGCCTAGTTTCTAATAGACCTCACAACCTCTGAGGATGCCTGCCATAGATGTGGGCGAAACATCAGGAGAGAGTGCTTCTGGAACATTTTATTTATTTATTTATGACATTTATATGCCGCCCTTCTCACCTCGAAGGGGACTCAGAGCAGCTTACAAATGAAATGTAAATACAATATATTATATTATTACCATAGCACAGTGTTTCTCAGCCTGTGGGTCCCCAGCTGTTTTGTCCTTCAACTCCCAGAAATCCTAACAGCTGGTAAACTGACTGGGATTTCTGGGAGTTGTAGGCCAAAACGCCTGAAGACCCACAGGTTGAGAACCACTGCTATAGCACCATATTAATATTATGTATTACATTGTACTATAACATTATACTGTAATATTATTAGTAATATTACATGTAATATAAAATATAGAATTTTAATATCGTATTATTAGTGGTATTATATGGTATTACATTATAATATTATCAATATTATATGTGCTGGTACAGCTGTACCAGGAGCTCCTATTTTGTTTACTTTGCAGTTAATGTTTGTTTGCAATCCCAGGCTTGGGATTTTGCAGCAGGGTGGCTTCCTGTTATAGGCTGCAATCATAGGGTAAGCCACCTGCCAATTATAGTTAGGTTCCCTGGTCCCGCCCCTTTTTGAGTTTTTGGAGGGAAGGGGCCATTTTTCAGTCAGTCACACAAGGAAGCCAGTCTATGGGACGCAGATCAGCTAGTCCCGTAGGAAAGGCTTCATTCCTCAAAACCTTCCGGGGAAATAGAAATAGCCATCCGGGGATCATCCAAAGGTGATCCGGGGTCCATCCAGCGACCATCCAGGGGTCATCCAGTGACCATCCAGTTCCAGGGAAACAGAAGGAAAAGGTTCCAAAGGCTCTGCCTGAGAGCTCACAGCCTCTCAGCCTCACAGCTCCAGAGAGGAAAACAGCCCTGAAGTTTCCACAGGACATCACTGCAGAACCACAGAATTCCAGCTAAACATCTTCTAGCTTCGTCTYGTAGGTTACTCGGTTTCCAGARGCATTTGGGGATCGGCYGTWTTACCCAGACRAGCGAGGCCTAGGTGATGGACGGCCTGGGATCGCCCGTAAGGGCTGAGAATGGCGGTTAKWAAGMGCCTCAAATAAAATAAATAAAAATTATAAAGASTTCTTCKTHWTYAGATAGTACAYTRAAACCAAGTRAGTGCCAGTCTCTTAAAGACTWGWATAYMYAAYRCWTGAAGTTTTGTTTGAAGATTTGTTCCRTAATAAAGACTTTMTTGTACRTTTAAAGAACTCTAAAGCCCATTACTTRTGGAAGTCTCTAACAATCTCTCTTCGGGCACCCCGGCTTCCCACTGGGTTTAAAGTGTGCGTTCTATAGAATAAAGACATTTTGTTCGGACCCAGTGGCGACAGAACATTATATGTATATACAATATATATTATTATATTATATTTATTATAAGAACATAGCCATACAGCCTGGAAAACCCATAGCAACCCAGTGATTCTGGCTTTTCGGCTTAGAAAATGGAGGTGAGCACCACCCCCCAAAGTGGACACAACTAGACTTAACCTCAGGGGAAAACTTTACCTTTACCATCAGTCTGGTTTTCAGGTGGCCAGCAGCTTCTTGCTGTTCGAATTTCTTCTGTTTGATTAGATATTTCCAACTGATACAGTTATGATTTCCAGGCCCTTGGAAAAAATGTTATCGTGACACTGTACTCGCCACCTTCACTGAACTTCGACTACAGTATGGTTGTAATATTTGCAATTGCCGTGACGTGTGTGACGCTGGGCGGCTATTGGAGTGGAATGACAGAGCTGTAAGTTTTTGCTTTACTTTTAAATTCCTCTGACCAGTATAATTACCTACAGTTTCATTTGCAAGATTTTTTTGTATTATATTTTTACTACTTCATACTGAATAAACAGGAGGAGACAGGAGTATGCTTAGGCTGTCCGAAGTTTGGAAAGGTGTAGCTGCCATCTTACTGTGAATATTTTTCTACACATAAAATGGGATGTTCCTCACTTTTATGTGCTTGGACAGGCATTTTCAGAAATCTCTCATCATCTTCAGCTGAGGTGCAACTTAAGTTCATGCAGGTTTTCCACTGATATGGCCCCTGTGTTGGCAACTACATTATTCAGCCAATTTAATCTGTCTTTTTTACTCATTTACTAGTTTATTAAAATACTAGCCATTCCCTGCCACGCATTGCTGTGGCCCAATCTGGTAATCTGGAAAACAAAGTAACGAGAAAGTGTTGATTTCTAATATATGTAATTTCTTTATGCTTGTGGGTGAACAGAATTTCTTGTTTCTTTGTCAGTGTTGATGTAGAGATTGTTTAGTTTTCCTACTCTGGAACATGCAAGATATAATTGTCCTTCTTTAGGGGTCCCTTTCAAATCTATGATACTGTATCTCTCTGTGTGTGAATCATATATCTATATCTATGACTGGATGGCTCTTTCTCAGGAGGGCTTTTATTACGTTTTCTTGACCTGGTGAACGGAGTTGGACTGGATGACTTTAAGTATTTTCTGTTAGGCATGGGGGTTCTATGTGGGAAATTTGCCCCAATTTTGTCATTTGTGGGGTTCAGAAGGCTCTTTGATTGTAGGTGAACTATAAATCCCAGTAACTACAACTCCCAAATATCAAGGTCTGTTTCCCCCAAACGCCATCTGTGTTGATATTTGGGCATATGGAATATTCGTACCAAGTTTGGTCCAGGTGCATCATTGTTTGAGTCCACAGTGCTCTCTGGATGTAGGTGAACTACAACTCCAAAACTCAAGGTCAATGCCCACCAAACCCTTATAGTGTTTTCTGTTGGTCATTGGAGCTCTGTGTGATAAGTTTGGTTCAATTCCATCATTGGTGGAGTTCAGAATTATCTTGGATTGTAGGTGAACTATAAATCTCAGCAACCATAATTCCCAAATGGCAAAATCAATTTTTTTGAGTGATGGTCACTCCTTGGGTTAGTAGGTGCCTTGTGGCCAAACTTGGCAGCAATTCATTATTTATTTATTATTTATTTCAGTTACTTCTACCCCGCCCTTCTCACCCCCGAGTGGGGACTCAGGGCGGCTTACAAACGAAGGCACAGTTCGATGCCTATGTCAATTATACCAACATACATAAAACAATTTAAACAAATTAACAGATTAAAAACATCAATACATAATGTAATAGTAAACAATCTCATGCTCAGTGTTCAGAGTTCCGAATGTCCATTCCATTCCATCAATTCCTGCTCATCATCGGGTCTTTCCTTTAGCTGCCAGAATGTCCAAAAGCTTGGTCCCATATCCAGGTCTTCAATTTTTTTCTGAATGACCAAAGGGAGGTCATTCAAAAAAAAACATCCAGCTGTTTTTGAGTTATGTTAATCCCACAAACGAACATTACATTTTTATTTATATAGATTAAAATAATGAACATTGGATAGACGAGAGCAGCCAGAAATGTGTCCATCCAGTTTTAGATTATTTTTTTTAGTGGGATAGTAAACATTTATGCTGGGGAAAGTGGAAGGCAAAAGGAAGAGGGGCCGACCAAGGGCAAGATGGATGGATGGCATCCTTGAAGTGACTGGACTGACCTTGAAGGAGCTGGGGGTGGTGACGGCCGACAGGGAGCTCTGGCGTGGGCTGGTCCATGAGATCACGAAGAGTCGGAGACGACTGAACGTATGAACAACAACAACAAAACATTTATACAGAAGTTTCCAATATCTGGGGCTTTTTTTCCACCACAGACTGTCCTGGTCCACTCATATTGCTTCTATTACCCTCAAAGCTCGTGAGCAGTTCAGCCATTTTGCATTTTACCTCTACTAAAGGGGGGCAGTTCATACCTCTGGCAACTAAAGTTTTTAACATTAGGATAGCTTCCTAGCTGCTCTATTCTTCCAGCATCTGTATTGGGGGCCTAACATCAAAAATAGACCAACAGCAAACACGATTTTTGCGGGCCCTTTTCCAGCTCCCCAGATGTGTACCATCCTATGTCTTATTACTTGAATCCGGGGAAGTACCCCTGTCAATAAGAGCCTGGTGAAGGGCACTGAAAAACTGGCTCAAGATGAGAGTTTTTAGTTTAGGATCTGGTTTGATTCATCACTTAGCTCAGGATGTGTACATAAGTAGTTGGTTTAAGATAAATTCTAAGAAAGCCTCCTCCTTTCCACATCCCTCCGAACTCATCTGGGTTTTGACTTGGCTGTCAAATCAACCAAACGGGTTGTGGAACATTGTCTTTTGTAAACTGCGCTCTCACTCTTATGTATCTTGCTCCCCTAGTGCCTTGTCCATAAATAATAATAATAATAATAGTAATAACAACAACAACAACTTTACTTATGCACTGCTATATCTCCCCAGGGGGACTCAGGGCGGTTTCCAAGCAACAACATCAAAACATACAGAGTCACAACATGAACAAAAAATTACATTAACAGCAACATAAGCATGTAATTACTCAACAACACATAAATATTAAAAGGAAAAATCCCGCCTGCTCTTCATGTCTTATTTGTAAGGGCATGGAAAAGGAATGGGTCAGGACAATTAAAAAGGCTGGGTCAAGACTGATTAAAAAAATTGAAATAAGATGAGACCGGCATTTGAGTACAGTACTGTAATAGGTAAACGACAAAAGCAGGGACGGGCTATTTCCAGCGGTCTATTAGGAGAATGACCAGGGTAATATATAGGGGGCTAGGTCGTGTCTGAACAGTGTCTGGGCTGAGCTAGCACTGGTCACTCTCGAAGATTTGTTGAAACCACCAAGTCTTCAACCTCTTACGAAACAAAGGGAGGGATGGAGCCTATCTTATTTCCCTTGGAAGGGTGTTCCAGAGGCGGGGGGCCACCACCGAAAAGGCCCTCTCTTTCATCCTCACCAGCCGTGCTTGTGACGGAGGTGGGAGCGAGAGGAGGGCATCCCCAGAGGATCCTAAAGTTCACGCCTTTATATCGGGCCTTTCCACACAGCAAACTATCTAAAGAACATGACTGCTTTCAACTCAATCAAACAGAGACTGTGGCACGTTGCCTTTTGTGAGCTGTGCTCTCGTTCTTATGTATCTTGCTCCCCTAGTCCCCTGTCCATACATTATGTGCGGGCCTTTCCATGCCACAGACTATCTAAAGAACTTGATTGTGGCCAAATATCGCTGCCTATTTTCCAAAGCAAGGTGCAATTGACTCCTATCTGAAATGCTGTGTGTGAGATTTGCAGGTACCCCATGTCATGAAAGACTCTGTCCTTGTAACAAACAGGAAGTAGAATGCATCTACCACATTCTGCTGTCACACAGTTTCTATGAACAGGCCTGAGCACACATAATCAACCCCCTACTTAAAAACTTACCAGAAAGTCCACGGAAATTTTATGTGACGTTTCTACTTAGTGACAACCTTCCACAAGTGACCTTTGTGGTTGCCAAGTTTCTTTCTGAGGCAGCCAGGATTAGACAATTCCCAATTTTAGACACAGTCTGAATTCCGCCAGTACTTCTTGTAGTCTTTTACCCAACATGTATTTTAAGCAGTTTTTAATGATTGTAAATTTTATACATTTGTGTGTTTAATCAACCGGATGTTCTCAATCTCATTACCTGCATATTTTGCACACCTATGGTGCAATAAGGGTCTTTGGTCCATAAACAAATGTTTGTTTGTTCATTTATACAGTTCAGTGCAACAGGTTATATCTCATTTTTGTTGTTGTTCATTCATTCAGTCGTCTCCGACTCTTCGTGACCTCACGGACCAGCCCACGCCAGAGCTCCCTGTCGGCCGTCACCACCCCCAGCTCCTTCAAGGTCAGTCCAGTCACTTTAAGGATGCCATCCATCCATCTTGCCCTTGGTCGGCCCCTCTTCCTTTTACCTTCCACTTTCCCCAGAATAATGGTCTTCTCTAGGCTTTGCTGTCTCCTCGTGATGTGGCCAAAGGACTTCAACTTTGTCTCTAGTCTCCTTCCCTCCAGTGAGCAATCGGGCTTTATTTCTTGGAGGATGGACTGGTTGGATCTTCTCATATACTAGGCACAATAATTTTAATACTTCCTGGATCTTTTAACATAATGTATTGTCCGACATAAATACTTCTTTGGTCATGGTGATTGAGATATGCCTCCCAAAAAAGCAATGCAGCCCGCAAAAACACAGATTTTCTAGAAAACCCTGATCATGGATTATTCCTGAAAGGTCCATCTGATTGTTTCATTTTCAGACAGTGTTTTCCATGTATTGTGCCTAAAAGCTGCCATAGACAACATTAGAAAATGAACTTCCATTCCAATTGTTCTTTGTTAATTTTTGGGAAATATTTACATTATATCCAAGAACTGGGCTTGCATAAAGAACATCATACGTTTGAGTACAACACTGATAGGACTGTATTGAAACCTTTAGCAAGATGTAGTTACTCATGTCTTGGTTGTGTTTTTCCCTAGTAATGCATATACAAGGGATCAAAGAGAAAACTTCAAATAATTACTGTATTTTATTGATCCCAGTAGTTGTGTTGGTTTTTTAACTGGTTTTATTTACCTTCACAGAGAAAAACTAAAGAAGACCTCAAGCTCTGGAAGCGTTGATTCGTCAAAGAGTGAAGAAAACATTACGTTAACCCCTGTGTCAGTGATATTCTTTGTTGCCACCTGTTGCATTATGCTAGTCTTGATGTACTACTTCTACAAGTGGTTAGGTAAAGCTTGCATTTTGCAATAGATCTTCTTGCTCACCTGATAGATATTTGTCTGGGTTGGAGATATGAAACATTAAGGAAAGAGTTTGACCTTTTGTCTCAAGATCTTCTTACCAGGCAGTTTCCTTTTGAATATCCTTTTAGGAAGTTCTGTGTCATATTGTTTTCTCAAAAAGGGTTTCTAGTTTATTTTGTTTTGTTTCTGTGAGTTGGTTCACTTTGAAACGCCAAGCAAGCAAGCACAAAATTTAGAAAGGATTACTATTAATGTGCTATCAAAGGCTTTCATGGCTGTACTCACTGAATTGCTGTGAGTTTTCCAGGCTGTATGGCCGTGTTGGAGAAGCATTCTCTCCTGACATTTCGCCCACATCTATGGCAGCCATCCTCCGAGGTTTTGGGGTCTATTGGGAACTAGGCAAGTCATAGAATCATAGAATCAAAGAGTTGGAAGAGACCTCATGGGCCATCCAGTCCAACCCCCTGCCAAGAAGCAGGAATATCGCATTCAAATCACCCCTGACAGATGGCCATCCAGCCTCTGTTTAAAAGCTTCCAAAGAAGGAGCCTCCACCATACTCCGGGGCAGAGAGTTCCACTGCTGAACGGCTCTCACAGTCAGGAAGTGGGGTTTATATATCTGTGGAATGTTTAGGATGGGAGAACTCTTGTTTGTTTGAGGCAAGTGTGAATGTTGTAATTGGCCAGCTTGATTATCATTGAAAAGCCTTGCAATTTCAAAGCATGGCTGCTTCCTGCCTGGAGGCACCCTTTGTTGGGAGATGTTAGCTGTGTAGACTTGTCCCCAGCTGCATGGTGTATGGTAGACAAGCGTATGGACAATTTCATGAAAATAAACAAGATCTGGCTACCGGTATTTTAAAAACTTTAAAATCAGGACAGTAAATAAAGAACAACACTCAGATGACAGGGAAATTCCACACAAGAAACAATCAGGGCCAGCTAACACCTTCCCCAGACAGGAAACAGCCAGGCTTTGAAGCTGCAAGGCTATTCAATGCTAATCAAGGTGGCCAATTGCAATAGTCACACTTGTCTTAAGCAGACAAGAGGGGTTTTTTTTCTCCCACCCTGGTCTTATCTTAAACTGTAATTTAAGATAAAACTGTCCGACTCTGATTGAACCATTATTCCAAACTTCTTCAATGTAAATGTGCTTAGGTATCCTTCCAATAATAAAGAGAGTAAAATAATAAATGTAATAAAAATAAAGAGTAAAATAATGTAAATGTAATAATAATTGCAACATTCTGTAATAATAATAATAGAGGAAAATAATAAATGTAATAATAACAATAAATAGAGTAAAATAATAAATGTAATAACAACAACAATAACAACAGAGTAAAATAATAAATAACCTTGATTCGGACATAAGCTGAGAGAGGCTTTATCAGCCTAAAAAAAGGGCTGAAGAACTCTGCTTATACTGGAGTATATACAGTGGTATTATACTGTCCCGGTATTACACAATAGCTTTGCTTTATGCCTTAAAAAGCCACAGTATAATTCATCCAAAAAATGTGAAATTCAGTAGTAGCTATAGTACCAGGCTTGATAGCTAGGACTTGAACTCCATTGTCTTAGCAGGACTTTATCTGAATAAATTGGTATGCTTATTTATAGATACTGAAATACCTGCCTTGCCTGATTATCCATTGAATCATGTATGGTTACATTACATTATATGGATTAGATATTCCAGGTCTTAACAATTGATTTTCTTCTCATTTTTCCTTTGTGTCTAGTATATTTCGTTATTTCAGTTTTCTGCATTGCATCCGCCTTGAGCCTATACAGCTGTCTAGCAGCGCTAGTTAGAAAAATACCTTACGGACGCTGCAGGTATGGTTAATTATTCCACATGTTAACTTTTAAAACAGCTTTGTTACTTATGAGATTGGTAGTATTTTATTAGACTTCTAGCTTGGGAGGTTTTTGCCTCATCGCTAGGCAGTATTACTTGTACTTCAAGTGTATTAGTTTCCCTTCAGATTACAGGAGAGCTGTATTGAATTTTATGAATTGGGAATAACTTGATAAAATGGGTTTTCGGTCTTCCATAATTTGTCAAACATTTCAATTTATTACATGGAAGGGGAAACTTTTTTTATTTCACTCTTTCTCCACTAAACTCTGTTGTTCTACAAATACCTTTTTATTAAAAAGTAAAGGTTTTCCCTTGACATTAAGTCTAGTCGTGTCTGACGCTGGGGGGTGGTGCTCCTCTCCTTCTAAGCTAAAGAGCCGGCGTTGTCCCTAGACGCCTCCAAGGTCATTTGGCTAGCATGACTGCATGGAACACCATTACCTTCCAGCAGAAGTGGTACCTATTGATGTATTCACGATTGCATATTTTTGAGCTAATAGTTTGACAGAAGCTGGGGCTAACAGCAGGAGCTCACCCCACTCCCCAGATTTGAATTGCTGACCTTTCAGTCAGCAAGTTCAGTGGTTTAACCCACTGCGCCACCTTCCAACATCAGTAGAAATTCGCCATAAGCTAATGGAAGCCCATACAATTTGTGTTGCTCTTCCAGTCTCACAGACAAGAATGAATCATGACTATGACATTGCTTGAAGCCATTATGAGATGTGGGGATTCTTTTATCCGTTGGGAAGCGTTTAGTGTTAATATCCAAAATTAAGAATCTATAGTAGTATATATCTGCTTAAACTAACTATTTGAGTTCTTCAACCATTTAAATAAATTTCCATGATTTTTTGGCTGTCTCAGATGGATAGGTGGGACGTGAACCTTTGAATCCAAAACAGATTTGCAAGCATTTGATTCTCTTAAAGTGCACTTACGTGTTTTTATAATACACATTAAAATTGTGCCTCTTTGAGACTACAGATATTTATTCTCTGACTCTTATCTTTAGATTTCCATGCTATAACAACTTCCTTGAAGTACGACTCTTTTTTCTTGGAATATTTTGTGCGGCTGTCGCTGTTGTTTGGGTTGTGTTTCGGAATGAAAATACGTGAGTAAAGAATTCAGAATTTCTTTCCTTTAAAAGTTGGCATTCTAGTGAAATAACTGTAGCTTGTCAGCGATAGGCACTTGGGAAGTCTATATTTACTGCATTTCGTGATGGCGTGTCCGTGTATTAAATTGGAGATTGACAATCTGTAGTCCAAAATAGAATATATCTGCTAAATTAAAGGGATTTAAATAATAATAATAATAATCATCATCATCATCATCAAAGAAAAATCATGGCTATGGCTCACAAATGGAACTTTGAAAAAGGAGACGGAGGGCCTGATTCCCGCAGCCCAAGAACAAGCCATTAGATCTATCAAGGCTAGAACTGAAAAGTCACCGACAGATCCCAAAAGTAGACTCTGCAAGGAAGCAGATGAAACATTAGATCACATCCTCAGCTGCTGCAAGAAGATTGCGCAGACAGACTACAAGCAGAGGCACAACACCGTTGCTCAAATGATTCATTGGAACTTGTGACACAAACACCATCTGCCTGTGACAAAGAACTGGTGGGATCACAAGCCGGAAAAAGTTACAGAGAATGAACACGCCAAGCTACTCTGGGACTTCCAAATTCAGATAGAATTTTGGAGCATAATACTCCTGACCTCACAGTCATGTTAAAAAACAAAGTATAGATTGTCAATGTCGCAATCCCAGGCGACAGCAGGATTAACAAGAAACAACCGGAAAAGCTGACACGATATGAGGATTTAAAGATCGAACTACAAAGACTCTAGCACAAGCCAGTCACTGTGGTCCCAGTGGTGATCGGCACACCGGGTGCAGTGCCTAAAGACCTTGGCCTGCACTTAAACACAATCGGTGCTGACAAAATTACCATCTGCCAGCTGCAAAAGGCCATCTTACTGGGATCTGCACACATTATTTGCCAATACATCACACAGTCCTAGACACTTGGGAAGGGTCCGACGTGTGATCCAATGCAACAGCCAGCAGAATGATCTTGTTTGCTGTGGACTCATCTTGTTGTGTTTCTAATAATAATAATAATAATAATAATAATAATAATAATAATAATAATAATAATAATACATCACACAGCCCTAGACTCTTGGGAAGGGTCCAATGTGTGATCCAATACAACAGCCAGCAGAGTGATCTTGTTTGCTGTGGACTCATCTTGTTGTGTATCAAATAATAGTAACAATAATAATATTTATTTAAATCCTGACTTATGTCCCCAAGGGAATTCAAAGCAGTTTACAATAAATTTCGGCAAACATTCAATGCCGTAAAGAAACTGAACAGGGACAATGATGGAACGTAAATATTGGCTCACCATCCAGTAAATTATTTAATGACGACTATTACTAGGATTCAGGTTTTGGTGTAGAAAATGTAGATCATCGTGTGGAGGTGTAACAGTTTCATTTCTGTTTCAGCTGGGCTTGGATTTTACAAGATATCTTGGGAATTGCTTTCTGTGTGCACTTCATCAAAACACTGAAAATGCCCAACTTCAAGGTATAGTAATCTACCTGTTCTGTTAAAATGACATTGATCAACTGCAGGAAAAATTGTCACCGTGTTGTCGAAGGCTTTCATGGCTGGAATCACTGAATTGCTATTAATTTTCTGAGCTGTATGGCCATGTTCCAGAAGCATTCTCTTCTGACATTTCACCCACATCTGTGACAGGCATCCTCAGAGGTTGTGAGGTCTGTTGGAAACTAGGCAAGTGGGGTTTATATATCTGTGGAATGTCCAGGGTGGGAGAAAGAACTCTTGTCTGTTTGAGGCAAGTGTGAATGCTGCAATTGGCCACCTTGATTAGGGTGAAGTATCCATTGTCCTGTAGAGACCAGTTTAGGTGTTTCTTTGGACATTCTACAGATATATAAAACCCCACTTGCCTATTTTCCAACAGACCCCACAACCTCTGAGCATAACTGCCATAGATGTGGGCAAAACGTCAGGAGAGAACGCTTCTGGAACATCGCCATGCAGCCTGGAAAACTCACAGCAGCCCAAAAATTGTTACCATTTTTGAAGCACAAACTGTTTCCTAGAATATCTCAGCTAGTTAACATATAATTGTTCACTTTTGGTAATGAACCAACCTTAATATTGTTCTCTGTATTTTGAATGAAGCCTTGTAGAATAAAAAGAAAACAGGGAAACAAATATTATAGGGGAGTGGGGAAATGTTTATGAAGGCTACTCATACAATGTATAAGACTAATAGGGTGGTTTCTGTTCTCTAGTCGTGTGTGATACTCCTGGGCCTCCTCCTTGTATATGACGTATTTTTTGTCTTCATCACGCCGTATCTTACAAAGGTAAGTACACAAGTTTATTTTGCTTTAGAGCATTGTAGTTCATTGAGATTTTTTAAAAAAAGAATTCAGAATATAATAATATGTGCATTTTATTTCATTTTACCTTGCATTATTAGCTTTTAATCACATTTTCCCTGTGGTTTGAGGTTTGACTGTTTTAATGGAACATTCCTGATTCTGCATGAATGATTTTTTTTTTACATGGGGCATTTAAACATCCCATGACGCATTGGAATTCATTTTGGGGTCAAGAAATGCCCAGAAGTCATATAATTTTTTAAAAACCATAGTGCATGAGAGTTAATATCATACTATGTTTAAAAGAAGACAAAAGTTTCCCCTGATATTCAGTCTAGTCGTGTTCAACTCTGGCGGGTGGTGATCATCTCCATTTCTAAGCCAATTAGCCGGCGTTGTCTGTAGATACCTTCAATGCCATGTGGCTAGCATGACTGTATGTAGTGCCGTTACCTTTCCACCGAAGCAGTACCTATTGATCTAATCACATTTGCAAGTTTTCAAACTGCTAGGTTGGCAGAAGCTGGGGCTAGCAGTGGGAGCTCACCCCGCTCTCTGGATTTGAACCACCTTTCAGTCAACAAGTTCAGCAGCTCAGCAGTTTAATAATAATAATAATAATAATAATAATAATAATCTTTATTTGTACCCCGCTACCATCTCCCCAAGGGACTCGGTGTGGCTTACATGAGGCGAAGCCCACAGCACATCAATAAACAAAAGCGATAACAAATAATCAATACAGAAAAGTTAAAATAAAACTCAAAAACAAAAAATACACAATAAGCAATGAACATTAACCCGCTGCGCCACCAAGAGCCCTGTTTAAAACAAGGGCACCTCTTGAAGAATATTGAAAAGGGCAGTGAATTATATGAGAGACAAAAGAGTTTTAAAGAATTTATAA